AATATTCTTCGGTGACACGGTGATGATTCAAATATACCAAATTTTATTGTGGAAAATTATGGGATAGAAATCAAATTCCATCTATCTAACTTCATCATAAATTACAGACAAAAATCACAGGCAAGTGCTAGATGTCAGCTCAACCTGAAGAATTTCCACTGTGCACTAACATGGCCCCAAACACCATGTTATACCCAAAACATCAATTAACTACCTTTCCCCGAATTATGCTCACTAACATCTAGACATATACTTGGCAGAGATGTTTTGTAAGCTTGTCTAATTCTATGGCATTAGATAATCCTTTTAAAAGGATTTCCTACTGGCAGTGGGACCATGCAGCTTTGGCTAGTGGGCTACCATGGTGCATGGCAGGATCTCCTGGCTCTCCGTCTGGGAGGTGCGCTTCCCTTTGTCACTTGTGGGTCACACTTGGACACCATGCTCCCTGCTGACACCCAAAGCTGGGGGAGGTGCATGTGTCCTGGGAAGCTTCCCGACTTTGGAATCATTGCTTTTGAAAGGTAGGAGGCAAGGTTGGGGTAAAGCAAACGTCTTCCCAACCTAAGAACATGACCCTTCAACTTATTAAAACAGTGCTTTTTGGTTTGGTCTATGCTGCAGACTTTGCCTGCAGAGTCTCTGACTTCCTACTTACTTAGGTTCCTCAGCCTGCCTCTAATTAAAATCAGATGCTCTCAGCTACAGGTGCCTGGGCAATATCTGATTGTAAACGAAGATTGAAAGGGGAGGCAGAGAACAAATGCATTTTAATTTTTTTTACTTTAAACGTTCCTCAGTTGTTGAGTAAACCATGGGTTGAAGGTTTGTAGGAACATGAAAGAGAAAACAAAAAGTGAGAGGATGATTTGGGTGAGGAAAGAATAAGAAATAATCCTCCTATGTCCTCCTCAAAACTCATCCGAGTGCTAAGAATACTTCTCAAAATGCTTTGTACAAGACCAAAAAAAAAAAACATAGAGTCCTCAGTCCTTCCTCATAGATACTCTCCTCTGAATTTCCTGTTCCATTTAGCTGTGCCCGCCAAAGATCACTTCAAGATTATCTCTGATTCCAAGAACAGAACAAAACCCCAGTTCACTGCCATTGAGTTCATGGTGATACTCCAAGATAGAGAAAAGCAGCCCTGTGGGTTTCTATGTGAATCTTTCTGGAAAGGGAAGCCCTCATCTGCCCCCAGAAGAGCTCCTTGTTAGTTGAAATTAACCTTGTGCTTAGCAACCTACTGCGTAGCCCACAGTGACACCAGAGCACCTTGATTCCAAGATAAGGAATCCTTAGTTCTTTCCAAAAGTATTTTCACATTCCTGGAAAGGAAAAACTTTAGATTTGGGCATCATACTTATAAAAATTAGTGCAAATTTTTACAAAGAGTAGAGCAGGGGAAGGGAGGGGGAACAAAGACAAATTACAAACCCAATGATAAAAACACTTAGAATATTTGAAATGTGAGAATTTAGAGTTTGTTCATGCAGTGGACACAATCAAAGCTAACAGGCCAATTGTGTCATGTGTTGGACTTAACAGGTGCTATCAGTTCATGGCCAGACTCACAAGTGAGTAAATCAAAAGAGAAGAGAGGGTACCCTGGCACGAAAAGTTTCATCAATCACACTCAAGACTGAAAATTATTTTCTACTCATTATTAGCTTAAAGACATTCTCCAGTTCCAGAATTTCACAGTCTTCTTGAGACTCTCTATCAAAACTAAGTACAGAAGCACTAGACAAGAAAAATTGCAATCAGGGATTTAGAAGTGGAGTTATAGAATAGGCAATGAGTCCGAGGATATAATTAAGGAGGTAGTTTTCTCATCTTTATTGATCCCTTAAGAGATGTTTCCTATGCGGTAAGAAGCAAAATGTAAAAGTTGACTTAGGAGAGAACAGAACTTTCTGAGCAAGGAAAAGCAGATGCTGCATGTGAAAGGAAAACAAATATGCAAGGTAGTGGGGAACTACTCTAAGGATTATGAGAATTGGGTGATTGTGTACAGAAAAAAACATGCTTAAAGTTGTCCAATAAGGTAAGCATTTCTAGATCTCACGGGAAGCAGTTCTATTCATATATTCAGAGGCCTTGTACTTGAACAGATTACCTTCTAGCTTGATTTCTTCCATGAGATATAATATGAATACAATTTATTCCAAACATGTGAAAGTCACAACTAATGTACTGAAGTATGTGGTCTATAATGCAAAGTAAACTGTGATCTATACATCCAATCAGAGGGATTGTATCTGAAAGAAAACCAGCTATCTTTCAGGTAGAAGCTTAAGCTTCAAGAAGAAAGATTAAAAAGATTGAAGGGAAATCCTGCTAGGGAATACTCATTCTCCTTCCTTATAAGAGTGACTCCAAGTGCTAACAGGGTGTCTGATGGAGAAGGCTGAGTCTGAGAAGAACCAATTTAGTAGGATTGGAACTATATTTAGAGAATGGGAACTTTATAGCTAGAAACAAAAATATTATGTGAACCCTTCAAGAAAGTACATATAAAAATATTCAGTTCTTGGTTTACCTGCACCTCAAACATCTGAGATTCTATATTCAAAACATAATTCTAAAATGGGTGGTTTATTATTATAAAGTTCATGGAACAAATACACACAATTATTAGATTCAGAGGTGTCCAAGAAATTAATCCAACGGGTGAAAATAAAGTGTATCTCATAGGATGCCGAATGATGAAGTAGGATAATTTGAACACCGTTCCCAGCAATCAGAAAGAACTCCAAAGATAACTTATGTCTAATATTATGCTTTATTGGTCAGCTTAATGAATAAGAAAGTGGGTGCTTCCTAAACATCTGATGAAAAGTAGTTTCTAACCCCATAAAATAAAGCCTTACCAGTGATCAGGCAGAATTACATGGTGTCGGCTTACTCTGAGTCCTAACTGGCTTGATGGCGCATAACAACCACGAGACATGGAACCCTGGGAGTGTAGTGATTACATGTTGGCCTGAGATCTGCCTGCTTGGCAGTTCAATCTGCAGGAGAAAAGCTGGGCTTTCTGCTCACTTAATAGTTACAGTCTCAGAACCCAAAGGGGCTCACTATAAATCAACATTGATTCAATGATGGCAGGGATATTTTTTTGAGTTAACAATAATAACAACAGAGTCCTCTGATTATGTCAACAGAATCGATATCCTAGATGGCATAATTTTAAGGATCCCAGGAAAACCTGACCTATATATTTTGTTATGACCTCTTTTTGACTATCTTTCAAAATTCAGTAGGAGTGAAAACTTTGAATATTTTATCTATATCATGAATAAGGTTAGCACAGCATTTTATTTTCAATCCTTTTTCTCCACCCCAAACCACAAACCTTCTCATACACTTTCATAATACTCTTTCATAATGAATGACCCAATCATTGCTGGTTATATTCTTATTATGATCCCTCACTTCCTGGAGATTTTGGTTTTGTTCTTTGATAATATAGACAGTTACTGAAGCAATGATGTAATAATCACAGTGCCAGAGGGAGAAGATTATAAGAAAACAATGAGGATATTGAATTAATGTCCGGTGAGTGAAGAGTATCAACTTCCATCATTATATTCAAATAAAATGGGATGTAGAAGGGGTTTCTAATGGGCTTCTAGCTGAGATTTATGTTATAGGACAAAATAGAGCTACCCCATAGGTTTCCAAGTCTCTCATGGAAGCAGAGGAGGTGAGTTCAAGCATCTAACCTTTGGGTTAGCAGCTGAGCACTTAACTACTGTGTCAACAGGACTCTAAAAGGGGGACTAGAGGATTGGATTTAATGTCAAGGATTGATTCTTTTTTTTAAAGCATGCTTCTTCCAAAAGGTAGACATCTTACAAATATAAACATCTAAGAAACAGAGGGTTGAAAAACCAATTATTCAGTAGGATCCATGCTATCATAAAATTCATTTTATAAAAAACAAAAATTAGTCTTGTATAGAATTTTATAAAATCTCTAAAGCAAAATAAATATAACTTTTTGGAAGAGCAAAATGTGACGTGGAGACTAGAGGCACTTCATTGAGTCTCTGCTAGCTATTTGAGCACATTTTAACAGTTAAATTACACTGTAGTGTGGTCATTAAAAATAAAACCAAAAAGAAATTTATTAGTATAAATTTGGAAACGTGTCTGTCATGTAAATCTTCTTGCTTCTTTTCCTTCAAATTTATTTAAGTGACTTTCAAGTATCCTCTGGATGACAATACAGCAATGCAATGATTCCCGTTTTAAAGTATTTCCTTAAAAGATAGACTTATTTTTGAGTGTGTATGCATGTGTAAAGCTAACAAAATGCTGATGAAATCATATTTAACCTTCCTTATCAATGAAGTGAAGTTTGTCAGACTTTTCTAATACTATGCCTGGTAACAAATTCAATTTATACATGAACCAATATACACATAACTATATGTATACACATATACACAGCTGAATAAAAAAGTACATCCATCAATATGTAGCTTTTATATTAGTGAGCACTCATATTTTGGCACTGTATTAATTTGCTCTTTGATTTTAACTGATTGGTTATTTAATTGTTTTACAATCAACTAACAGACTCTTCTGAGCTAAGTGCTTCATAATCTATTTGAGTTATGCCTCTACATTTGCAAAATCTGAAATTAAATTCTAAACTAAGTATTCATATACCAAGTAGTTTTCCCCCTATTTGTTTCTATTAAGGCATAACAATTCTACTAGAATATATCAAACAAACAGCATATGTAAGCAAATCATGCTACCTCAATTTACTTGCCTATTTAAAGCCATAGACATAACCTAGAGCAAACACATATATTCACTTGCCTTAGCATAAGCTGCTAGAATCCACAAATTACAACCCAGTTTAAAAACAGGTTCATGGTCTATTTGTTTTTTAAGTCTATTTTTCATTTATCTTGGGCCAGTAGTTAATTTTCATCCTAATTTTACAGATCACTAAAAGAAAGTTGTAGAAATATATGACATAATATGACAACTCAGCAAAATGGCACCGTCTTTGTTGAGATTTCAGACTTCCTCCTGAATTGTTTTGTGAGGTCCCCAAGCTGGCAGATCTGGCTGTCCTTACCCCTCAGCCTCCTCTTCCTCCTGGCCATGGGGGCCAATGCTATTCTCCTCATCACTATCCGACTGGAGGCCTCCCTGCACGAGCCCATGTACTACTTGCTTAGCTTTCTCTCCATGCTGGACATCGTACTCTGTCTCACTGTCATCCCGAAGGTCCTGGCCATCTTCTGGTTTGACCTCAGGTCCATCAGTTTCTCTGCCTGCTTCCTCCAGATGTACATCATGAATTGCTTCCTGGCTATGGAGTCCGGCATATTCATGATCATGGCCTATGACCGCTATGTTGCCATCTGCCACCCACTGCGGTACCCATCCATCATCACTGACCGATTTGTGATCAAGGCTGCCATTTTTGCTTTGGCCAGGAATGTCCTCATGACCTTACCCATTCCTATCCTGTCAGCACGACTCTACTATTGTGGGGAAAATATCATTGAGAACTGCATCTGCGCCAATATGTCTGTGTCCAGGCTCTCCTGTGATGATGTCACCATCAATCGCATCTACCAATTTGCTGCAGGCTGGACCCTACTAGGATCGGACCTCATCCTTATCTTCCTCTCCTACACGCTCATACTTCGAGCTGTGCTGAGACTCAAGGCAGAGGGGGCTATGACCAAGGCCCTAAGCACATGTGGCTCCCACTTCATCCTCATCCTCTTCTTCAGCACCATCCTCCTGGTCTTCATCCTCACTCATGTGGCTAAGAAGAAGGTGTCCCCTGAGATACCAATCTTACTCAATGTTCTTCACCATGTCATCCCTGCAGCTCTCAACCCCATTGTTTATGGGGTGCGCACCCAGGAGATTAAGCAAGGAATTCAAAGATTACTGAAGAAGGGTTGGTAATAAAACAGGAATTGGACCTCTGTATCCTTACAGTATGGTGATTTATGAGTCAGTAATGGGTGAGTGAGCTGAAATTTATACATATGAATTATAATACAAAATTTAGTAAGTTAGATACTGTGGTTTCATTTTCTAATCATCACATTATTAATTAGGGTTTCACTTTTCTCTTAGCCTCTTATCATTTATTGCCAGGTTTGTATCCTCACTGAAAAACTCACTGCCGTTGACTCAGCAAAAATCCTATAGAACACAGTATAATTGCCCTTATGGGTTTCTGAGACTAAATCTTTTCAGTGTAAGCTTCATCTTTCTCCCCCACAGAGAGGCTGGTGATTTTAAACTGCTGACCTTGTAGTTACCAGCCCAACCAGAACCTACTATGCCTTCCATTTCTTGGTGTTCTATTTGTCTACAACTCAAGTATTGTTTGGCAGACTCTAAAGTGAGAATTTCATGTCCATGACAACGTAATCGCAAAATTTTCTGGATTTTTATAATGTTGAAAATACAACTGTGGATATTTTATGGTTTGTATTGTATTATATTTCTTTTCCTAGAAAGGGATAAATGTTAAAGAATTTAAACTCAACCCTAAATGATGTAGTTCAGCATTCAATGGTATCTGGGAAGGGGGGGAGGTATAAATTCAACACACAATGGCCTTCGTTTTGTTTTAGTTTTCTGAGACTTCTTCATCTTCCTCTTCAGTGGTATATGGACTTTGGACATTTATCTTCTATATCCAAAGTGTTTATGATAAGTGAACATAGCTCTTCTTTTGAGACAAAGGATTATAATCTATGATCCAGCAATAATACCAAAATATAAAATGACCCAGTTGAACATTATTTGATTACTAGTAGAACTTTTTTGAGCATACACTGTACTGAGAATTCTGTGAGACACTGAAGTCACAACAATGGTCATACATTACTGTAGCTTTGAGCTCAAATTATGCTTAAAAGGAATACACATCAAACTGAGTTTCAGAAATAGAGTCTTCTTAACCAGAAAGTCAGAAAGGAGTGAGGTGTGAAGTAGGAGGATGTATGGGCAGTAATATACCTGAAAACATAAGAAAGTATTCAATGAAAAGACAAAGGTATGAGTGACAGTCCTTACTCACCACATACATACACACAAATATATACACAGAGAAAGCTGTGTTTCCAGTAATAAATCAGGTGATCTCACTGTGCTTTGAGATTCTCATATTTTATTGGAGAGGTCACTATGAATGGACATTGACTCCATAGCAGTGAGTTTGGTTTGTTTTTTATTTATAAGTAAATAATTTGGTTTAGAAAATCCACTCTAGCTGGAATAAAGAAGAACAAACTATGCAAACTCAATAAAATGCTCAGAAGAATCCTAAGAGGCCATACAATTTATCTATTCTCCTTAGAGCTTAGATATAATAGATATAATACAGCATCAATGACGACAAAGTAGGTCAGAAATCATATACACATTTGCATCTATCTTGAAAGCTTTACTGTTTGCATGACTTTGGAATTGAGGAAATCTTTTCTCATCTTTTGTTCATTTATAAAGGCTTAAAATTAAAACATCTTACAGGGTTCCTTTAATAATTAAGTGAGATAAAGATCCTACTAAATTATAATATAGTGTCTAGTAAGTATTGAAATTCAACACACTAGAAGTGTTATTACATTTAACAGCTCAATGGATATGAAACGGTCAAATCTAAATACTGATGACATAAGGTAAATTCCATTCCTTGGATGACATTTAAACAGAATCATGTGAACAGATTTAGGATCATATGAAGTTTGATAGGAAAGACTGCAGAAAGGCTGTCCCCAAATATTTAGCAACATCTCTCTTTGTCACCGGCAAATCATTTCGCTGAGATCATTTTAGGACTTGCCTTTTAAATTCATGAGGAGAGGAGTGCTGGAACACTTCACTTTCATTCGAGGACAATTAACCGGAGTGCCGCAGTGAGTAAAGAGCTCCGTCACTAACTGGAAACGTCAGTGGTTCCAAACCACGAGCTGCTTTGTAGGAGAAAGATGTGGCAGTCTGCTTTCATCAAGATTGGCAGCCTCGAAAAGCCGACGGGGAAAGGATATGGTGTCTTGTAGCGTCAGAATGAGTTGGATCAATTCAACAGCAATAGGTAATCCTCACCTATAGTATCAAAATATTTTACAGAGGACTCTGTCATTTTGCCTTATACTTTTCCATCCCCATGAAAGGATTTTCATTTCTTTGAGAGTCAGGATAGAAATACTACTCTTTGTTGCCTGGCACCAGCTACAAACTCCTGCTGCAGAGTCCCGTATCTGTGATTTATATATAGAAGCTAAAGAAGTAACACCACCGAAGAGAATCTGCTGCGGGTGTGGAGGACATTATGTACAAGCAGAGAAAGGAATTCAGAGATGATGCATTGAGATCAACTTCCCTACCTCTACACTGTTGAAATCAATCAGCCAATTTTATTAAACTCCTCGATAGTAAAACTCATTGCCTAAGGTGTCATGAAAATGATTATTTATACATTACACAATAGTCACTCACTTACTATTGGAGAGTCAATTATGACTCATCGTGACCCTAAGTGACAGAGTATAACTGCCTTTTGGGGTTTCTGAGGCTACAAACCTTTGCAGGAGCAGAAAGCCTTGTCTTCCTACTGTGGAGCTGTTGATGGTCTCCAACTGGAGACCTGTGGTTAGCAGCCCAGATTTGGAATCCACGACATCACCAAATCTCCTACTATACAAAAGAAATGTTCACAAAGGTGGAAAGACAGGATTTTCAGAAAATCAAAATGAATTTCCTATTTTAATAAATATAATCTCCCATTAGTGCAAGATGACCTACTTGAAACTATATATGACATCCAATTAAGCTGAGATATTCTACACTGGTAGAGACTCAGAAGCTAATTTTAATGTTAACTTTCCACATCAGCAAAACAAAATCAGTTTTTTTAAAATCCACAAAATGACATTTTCCAGGAATGGTTTCAAGTCCTTTGGGATTCAGAATTCCTCCTGCATTGTTCTGTCAGGTCCCCCAGCTGGCTGTCGCCACCCCTCCGCCTCCTCTGTTTCCTGGCCACTGGGGCAAATGCTAGTCTCCTCATCCCCAAGCCTCTGGAGGCCTCTCATGAGCAGCCCGTGTATGATCTGCTCCGACTCCTTTCCTTGATGGACATTGCTCTTCATTTCACTGTCACCCCACAGAATCCTGGCCATTTTCTGGTTTCCAAAGATGAAACCATAAACTATAAACAGAAAAATGTTGTGTTAACTATGGCTTCCTTCAAATTTCAGTAGTTTTGTGAATAAACTCCCAAGTCTCTAACTTATCAGTTTTGTCATAGATCAACTATGTGGCATGGATCAGTCACTTGAAATATTCCCTATGGAGATGAGGGATCAAAGAAAGGCTGGCAGCTCCATGATGACACATAGAAGTTTAGTGAGGGGCTTTTACAGAGGTGAACCCTCGACAACAACACGGCCTACTCTTCATGCTCCCCAGACCGATACGAGGACTCTTAAAGCTCTGGTGAACAAAATGTGACAGATGCTGGGGTCCCAGAAAGTGTTAAATATAATACAGCTTAGCAAATTGTAATGAGCTGGCACCCAAACTAGCCATATTTAGCCTCACAAAAGTCTGTTCCCTAGAACCTTTAAATATATATGTATATATTAGAAAAGAATTGCTCAAAATAATAGATATAGGAATCATTTTAAATAATTTAATAGAAGTAATAAATTCAATTTATAAAAAATAAAAGGAAAGGAATAGCACAGACTAGAAAATGGTAAAGTAAAAAGAAGCATTAAAAAAAGTTAAAGAAATCAATAATCATTTCCTTTCCTTGATCATTTCTTCCATGTGTTTTAGCTTTTTGAATGTAGGAAGTGTAAACTTCAGAGACTTTTTTGCACATCAACTTTCATCTTTTCTTTATTTTTTAAATGACTTTTCACTGTGGACAATAGTCGGTGTCATTCTATACTTTGTCAGTTTTCTTTCATTGGTGTTTATTATGTCTAGTTGGTTCTTAACTTGTTCTCAAAATTCAGGTGAGATATACTCAAGGTCGTATTTTGGCTCTTGTGGACTTGTTTTAATTTACTTCCACTTCAACCTAAACTGACTGTATTAGTCTAGGTACTTTGGGGAAACAAATCCACGGCGACTCACATATAAGAGAGAGTTTTATGTAAAGAAAAGGTGCATCACGAAAACATCCCAACCCAATGCTGCCCAAGCCCACAAGTCCAACATTAACCCATTAACCCAACACCAGTCCACAAAGTCCTCCACCTCACAAAACAGAGGCAATGATGCCGACTGCAGGAGGAAAGCTGAGTCCGTGAACGTGTAAGCATCTCAGCACTGGCAGGGGTCTCCACATGGCTGCTCCAGCACCCAGGGTTGCATCGGGATAGATCCATGCGGCTTCTCCTTGGGGATGTCTTGTAGGAAGTCAATCTTGCAAGCTGAAGCAGGGAACTGCTAAGGCAGCTGCACCCGATGCAACCATCACAAAACAAGAGACCCGAGAACTAGAAAGGCGAGGCTTCACCACCCATTTATCCCTCCGCCTTTCAACCAGCCCCACATGTGATTATCGGCCAGGCTGGCACAATTAACTAACTCACTGACATATGAGCAATTGGTAACCTGTTCCACAGTCAGCCCCTGGCCTTGTTCTGGCTGTTAATATTGAACTTCTTCATCATCTTTCTGCAGATATAATTGACCTGATTCCTGTTTATTCCACCTGGAATGCTACATGTGTATCCTTGGCATTTATGTTGTCGAGAATAAAAGGTATTTACTATGATGAAGTTATTGGTTTTACAAAATTCTATCATGTGATCTCAGCTTCATTTCTGTCTCTAAGAAGATCTTTTCCAACTATTGCCCCTTCCTATTTGTTTCCAACTTTCACATTCCAAGGACCAATAATGATCAATGCATCCTATTTGCATGTTTAATTT